CGTGTTTAAACGAGGGGGTTTAGGGGGGCGTGGGGGAGTCTTAACTTTTATAAAGAATATCTCTTTGGGTTTGAGACTTTAGTCCTTGCAACTTTAGGGATCTTATCTATTCACGAACAGCTTGTAACACTCCAAAGAGAAAGGAAAACTTGAAATCGCATCATATGACCCCTTTAAAATACAACTTCTTGTAGCAGTTTAGCAGTTAGCACAACACATGTGGAGCTGTGGTGTTCATGTGACCAACGCAAGTTCAAATTTGGCTTATGTTGTTTACCAGTTCTCCTTCCACCATCTTCTCACCAGCAGTTCCTGTCCTCTTTCATTTATTCCCACAAATAAAGTGGCAAAAGGTCAAAATAATACAATTTATTGGTACTGCGGCTTTTAAAGTTTGAAAGAGTGAGGCAATTAAATTTAGCTGGGATCTTTAAGCCTGTTTCACCATTCTGCTGAATTTTCAGAAGTTATGACTCTCAGAGTAGCAGAAGGCAGTCTATCCTCAGCATGTATATTTTTTTCTAATAGGTTTGCTTTTAGTCCTTTCTTTAATAATGCCTACAGTTATTAACTATGACTGTGTAAATGCTATAAAAAATAAATAACAAAGTGTAGAAGAACTTTAAATGGCTCTGATTGGTTTGCTTTGATATGTTAAAGGGGTCATATGATGCTATTTAAAAGATCATTATGTTGTGTATTTGGTGTAACAGAATATGTTGACATGCTTTAATGTTCAAAAAACACATTATTTTTCAAATACTGTACATTATTGTAGGTCCTCTATGCCCCGCCTCTCTCAAACGCTTCGTTTTCTACAAAGTCCCTCCTTCCGACAAGCGCAGTCTGCTCTGATTGGCCAACTGACCCAGTGCATTGTGATTGGCCAAACACCGCAAGCACTCGTCGGAAATGTAACGCCCCTTACCATAAACGCGAGCTTCATCTTTCAAAATAAATGTAAAGACAAAGCCCGAAAGGGGAACAGAGTCGAGTGACAGACACAGTGATGAAGCTGGTACGTGTTTGCAGTACACAAGCCACGGTTAAAGGGGTCATCTCCACTGTGATGCGACCCTGTCTCTCTCTCTCTCTCTCACACACACACACATCTTAAAGATTCCTAATTGCATCTACTTTCGGAAGGCCAAATAAAGTGCTTTTGCTTTCGCCTAGAAACACACAGCGTCTCCTTGACATGGCTGCTTCAACACTAACTGCTGTTCCTGAAACCACGCCTTCTTTCTTTGCTTGCACATTTGGGCGGCATTATGCAAATGTTTCCACATAGTGAGGGTAGATATGTGGGGTGTGTTAGAACGAGCCGTTTTAGGGGGGTGTGGCAGAGTCTTAACGTTGATAAAGAATATCTCTTTGGTTTTGAGACTTTAGTCTTTGCAACTTCAGGGATCTTATCTATGCACAATCAGCTTGTAACACTCCAAAGAGAAAGGAAAACTTGAAATCGCATCATATGACCCCTTTAAAGTGATCTGATGTTTCTCATACTCGTAAATCTTTGTCCCTATAATTAGTGTCTGATCATAATTATACTTAATTAATGTAATAGGACAGATAACAAATGATGAATAGTATAGCTAATGGTGGCAAATTAAGTTAAATTTCTGTTTCATTAAGGGCACGTGAACGTGAACTGAAAACCTAATTTTGATCATCTTACCCTATAGAAGCACAGATATTATTCAGATAAGAACTCAAACCTGATGGACTGACTGGAATTGTTCCTTATATATAGCAACATTGTGTCCCTGTAGTTTGTAGTTTAGACTGACCCAAACAATATTTTGGGAAGGTTTTACTGTGAATTTAACTACTAGGTGAGATTTGTTTGTTGTTTGTGAGGTTGGTTCATTTAGGGTATCATTTGTTTTTTGTTTTGTTTGTTTTTTGTTTTTTTTTGTTTGTTTGTTTTGCAGTGTGTGTCCTACCATGAGCAGTGCATTTTTAAGATGATGTGTCAATTTTAAAAATAAACTTTATAAAACACATTTAAGGACCGGTATTCTTTTCAGTTTCGTATGCATACAAAAAAAAAAAAAAGGAAAGAAAAAAAAGAAGCAAATCCTATTGGGGTCAGTCTTAACTCAACATCATAATAATTATAAGAATGACCTGCTTTGTTTGCTTTATTGGAAACATGGAACAGACTATCTGGCTCTTTCGTATGCAAAAAAAAAAAAAAAAAGGAAAGAAAAAAAAAGAAGCAAATCCTATTGGGGTCAGTCTTAACTCAACATCATAATAATTATAAGTCGGCTGATTGGTCAAGTAGTGATTTTGAAAGTATATTGTTTTGCCCCGTTAACTCGATTTAAACTATTTCTCACCTCCAGATCTGTGATAAAGAGTGGCATTACTACGTCATCAATGTGGAGTTTCCTTCAGTGACGCTTTTCGTAGACGGAGTGACATACGAACCCTACCTTGTGACGGACGACTGGCCTATCCACCCCTCTGAGATCGACGTACAGCTAACCGTAGGTGCCTGCTGGCAAGGTGAGACCATGAAGTGTTGTGAACTGTTGTTTTGATTATCCTTTGAAAAAGAGGATCGATAAAATGAAATGGTGTCATAATTGTGGTTTGCACGACCCATCCATAGGAGATGATGAATCAGCATCCACCAATTTTGAGATGTGATCAGATAGTCTCAGACTTCAGAGAGGGTGTGACTAAGAGATATCTACATTATTGATATGACAGTGTGAGCATGGCAGCGGTGGTTCGAATACCAAGAGAGAGGCAATGTGTTTGGCCTCAGGCTACCCGGATTCCTCATTTAATCAAAGAGACTCAGGCGTGAAAACATCAAAAAAGAAACACGGCCTGTCAATTTCAGCCTTTTGAAATGGAGCTAATGATCACATTTGAATGGAGAGACTGTCCTTAACATCGCTTTCATGAGCTAAATAATTAAACAAGCCTCTGAGCGAATGGAGTCACGGCTGAGTCATTGTTTTAGGCGACGAGGTCCTAAGTTCTGAGTCTTCAGCACTATTTTACATTTCTTTTCATCTGTGCTGATTGCGGATTAGTCTCTCTTTTTCGCTGGCTTTGATTTGTGATTTTTTTTTTCTTTTTTAGAAGAGGCCAATAGTAAGAATTAAGAGACCCTGAATGGGGGACAAGTTCACTTGCCATTACATCCCAGTGAAGCTGGTCTAAGCTTCACTAAACTGCAACTTTTCAAGCCATTAGCGGGCAAGATTGCTTCTCACACCCTGTCCATTTTCACTCCATGCAATCAACAAAGTAGCAACAAACCACCTCATAATGGAAAGCGGGGATGGTATTTGTTCAGGCCAAATTGAGATCCTTGCTGTCTTTGGAGTAGAAATGGGTTTTGGTGGCCATTGTCTTGACGGGACATCAGATAGGATTATCTGCTTTTTTCTACAGCTTTGTTAGCACATTAACTGATCCATTATATAACTTAAATGTGTTCAATGTTAAAAAAATATTCTAACCATCTTATTTTTCTGCAGTAGGAGTGTACTGCTACACTGTTCAAAAGTTCTGGATTATAAAATGTTTTTAGGCTGAATTTATTTGATCAAAAATAGTCAAAAACGGTAATAATTTATATATTACAATTTAAAATAACTGATTTCTGTTTTAATATATTTAAAATGTAATTTATTCCTGTGATGGCAAAGTGAAATTTTCAGCAGCCATTAGTCCAGTCTTCCGTGTCACATGATCATTTAGAAATCATTCTAATATGCTAATTTAGTGCTCATTTCTTCTTATTATTATTATTATTATTATTGGTTGTTATGCTTAATGAACCAATGGGAACTGTGAAATAGTGTATTTTTCAGGATTCTTTTATGAACAGAAGGTTCAAAAGAACAGCATTTATTTGAAATAGATATAAATAAATCTTTTGTACAATTATAAATGTATTTACTGTCATTTTTGATCAATTTAATGCATTCTTGCTGAATAAAAGTATCACTTTCTTTAAAGATAATATCCCAACATTTTGAATGGTACATTGTTGGTTGTTGTTGTTTT